TACTGTATGTAGGCCTATAGAAGTGTATCCTAGGCTTATTCCTGTTTTGCAGTACATTTTTATTTCTCTGGTAAAATATATATATATATATATAAATGTTCTACCAAATGTTATACCAGGCTTTCAGAAATATGTTCTGCTCAAGCTCAGGCACTTTCTTCATTAATTATTACATGGTTATTTACACAGTGACAAGAAAATTAACAGAATGCCTAAGATGATGGAAAAAAGATCCAAAGTTGCTCAGTGAGGCACAGAGAGTGACTCTACTTGAATTTCTTTTGATAGTTTTGATATTATTATAACCAATTCTGTCATTTTATCAAACAGAATGGGATGTTTTAAAGTGAGAAAAGCCAACTATCAAACTACAAAACATCACAAAATTCCTCAAATCCACTGCTAATACTTACTGATGCTTGTGCTGTTGTTGTCCAACCAAAATGATGTCACTTCCTGGGGGATGGTTTAATTAAGGAAGTGACTTTAATTACAAAATATTACACAAGACTAATAAAAAGTTAAACTGATTATTAATTAAAGCAACATTCCCAATAAAAAAAAAACATTAGTTTGAAATATTTAAGAATAAAATGAGGAAACAGAATAGGACTTAATAAATTGCCATTTATTTTGTGAATTGTAGTGAAAGTAAACACAAAGATTGTTTATAGAGTTTAACATTTCAACCAATATATATAGATATCATGAAGACATGAAAAAAAAATCCTGACGGGATTGTAAAAATGAGTTGTTAGGTCACCATTTAAAGGTTTTCATTTTAATATTTTTTTTTTTTGCCTTCACTAGTTGATTTGAAATGGTCCTGTGGTGTGCTGGGATGTGAAATGCTGCTTATAGGACACTGCAGTCTGTAACATTCCAGTTTACACTCTGAGCTCAACAGTTATTAATCGCTGACATTTGTGCTCGTAGCAAACAGTACAAATCCTGGAAAGACATATTTGAATTCGATACTGTCAGAATGTGCATAGGAAAGAACCTATCTGAGCTGTCAGCTCATCCTTACATCCTCACATCAGGACTGGCTTCCTGCCAGACAAAAAGAAAAAAAAAAAACAGATGAATTCTGATGAACTGTTTCATCACTGAAATTCCACTTTTAAACTGTTTTGAGATAAGACTACAGCTGATCAAATGACACTGACTGTTCAGGCTACCTGTCTCCATCCATGAGGAAGTGCGCTGCTTGATCTAGTACACTGCTGTTTTATCTGTGAAAGTTTCCACACACACTCTCTTTCGCTGTACACTCTAAAAGTTCAGTTTTTAGATCAATATTTTGAGAGCTGATTAAATGTATCCTGTTATTTTTCCTCTTTAATCCAAACTAAATTGTATGGCAAAACATAATAAATGTATTGACTGTGTATTTTTGCAAGGCAGTCACAATGGGTTCTGGATGACCCGCCATATTGTACTGTAACTATCAATGAAGCAGTTTGCTCAAGAGCATAATGATGAGCAAAAGAGCAAAAATGAGTTAGTCCATGACTATTTGGGCATTTAAAGGGACTATACACTTATGAAACAAATATATATATAATATTTAATATTTGTTTACTGAAAAATTGTAGGATTTTTGGACAGTTTGTTAAAGGCATGGCACCATGGTGTATGTAAAATAAGATTTGACATTTATAACTTTATAAAATGGATTGACTGACTTTATAAAATGGACTGATTGATAAATTCAAAGGCGGAGGGTGAACCTACTCCAGGGTAAGGCTAAAAGCAGGCAAATGTATTAAAGGGGTCATATGATGCTGCTAAAAAGAACATTATTAAATGTGCACGCAAAGAAAGAAGGCGTGGTTTCAGGAACAGCAGTCGTGTTGATGCAGTCATGTCAGCGAGACGCTGTGTGTTTCAGTGCGAAAGCGAAAGCACTTTATTTGGCCTTCTGGAAGTAGATGCAATTAGGGCTGGACAATAATTCAATATCAATATGTATCGCGATATAATTTTTTTCAATAACGGTGATATGATTTTTAAACACATTTCCGATATTTCGATATACATTACCAGTGTTTCCCATACATTGATTCCTTTG